GAGCTACTCGGGCATGGGGGGGATGCTTGTGCATGAGGGGGATACTTGGGCATGGGGGGGGATGCTCGGGAATGGGGGTGATGCTCGGGCAATGGGGGGGATGTTTGTGCATGAGGGGGATGCTCGGACATGGGGGGGGATGCTCAGGCATGGGGGGAACGCTTGTACGTGGGTGCTTGTTCAGGCATGGGGATGATGCTCAGGCCTAGGGGATGTTTGGGCACGGGGGGGGATGCTCTGGTGTAGGGGATGCTCAGGCAGGGGAGGGTGTGCTTGGGGTTGTGTGGGATACTCAGGCATGGCAGGGAGACGCTTGAGCACAGGCGGTGTTTGGGCATGGGGGAGATATTTGGGTATGGTGGGGGGAGATGGCTGAGCATAGGAGGTGCTTGTGCATGGTGGGAGGTTCTTATGCTGGGTGACAGGGGTCAGTCATGCCCAGGAGTGGGTGCTTAGACCCATGGGAGTGATTGGGGGCAGTGGGGTTGTTCATGCAAAGGGGGGACACTCAGTGATGTCCACCCCCACAGGGATCTCAAGCTTTGGGTTCCTGGCAGGTGCCCCCAAGGTTGGGGGAACATGCATGCTTGGGGGGGTTCCCACAGAGAGGGGTGCAGGGACCCTCTGCCTTCTGGCCCCCTCTCTTGGGTGCTCACAGTTGAGGCTGGGAACCAAGCCCTGATGTGGGTGCTGCAGTGGTGGGACATCCAGCCCACACTGCACTTGGCTCTTCTCAGGGGCTTCAGCTATGTGGACCTGGTAGAAGGGCTGCGGGACGGGCGCTTCTACGCCCTGAAGCGCATCCTGTGCCATGACAAGGAGGACCGCCAGGCTGCCCTGCACGAGGTGGAGATGCACGGCCTCTTCGACCACCCCAACATCCTGCGCCTGGTGGCCCATTGCATGGTGGAGAAGGGCGCCAAGCATGAAGCCTGGCTCCTCCTGCCCTACGTAAAGGTGAGAGGGGGCTCCCCTGGCTACCCCCAGCCCCTTGCTGCTGGGAGGAGTGGTGGTGGTGACCAGTTACTTGCGTTTGCCAGGGAGGGACCCTCTGGAGAGAGGTGGAAGCACTGCGAGAGAAAGGGACCTTCATGCCAGAGGAGCGGATCCTCCTCATCCTCCATGGCATCTGCCGTGGGCTGCAAGCCATCCACAGCAAGGGCTACGCACACAGGTTGGAGGGCTGGCAGCCCCAGTTGGAGGTTGCAGAGGGTTGCAGAGGTCCCAAGTGGGCACTCAGTGATGTCCATCCCTGCAGGGACCTCAAGCCTACCAATGTGCTGCTGGATGAGGATGACCGGCCCGTGCTGATGGACCTGGGCTCCATGAACAAAGCTCGCATCGAAGTCAACAGCTCTCGGAAGGCCACAGCCGTGCAGGTGGGTGTCCTGGGACATCACCCCACCGGCCCATCCCTGCCCTGCCCCCTTCATCCCTACCCTCACCCTCCTCTCTGCAGGACTGGGCTGCCCAGCGCTGCACCATCTCCTACCGTGCCCCCGAGCTCTTCACAGTGCCCAGCCAGTGTGTCATAGACGAGCGCACAGATATCTGGGTAAGGATCTGGCCCCTCAGCCCCCATCCCACTGCTGCAGGGCTCCCCTCACACCCCCTCCCCCCTGTTCCAGTCCCTAGGCTGCGTGCTGTACTGCATGATGTTTGGGGAGGGCCCCTACGATGCCATCTTCCAGAAGGGTGACAGCGTGGCTCTGGCAGTGCAGAACCCCATCGTGGTGCCCCCCACGACCAGGTGAGGGGCTGGGGAGGGTGACCCTTGCTCCCAGGCAGCCCCCTGCACTGTGCACCATGCAGACCCCTCTCTCCCTCCCTCGACCCCACTGTCTTTCCTCCAGGTACTCGGCTGCCTTGCAGAACCTGCTCTCCTCCATGATGACACTGGACCCCCAGGAGCGACCCAACATAAATGACGTCCTCCACCAGCTGGAGGGGCTGCAGCCAGTGCCAGCGGGCCAGGACACCACCCAGATCTGAGCCCGTCCCACCCCACAGCGGCGATGTGCCCCGAGGACGAGCCAGGGGAAAAGCAGCTGCCCTTGTCCCTGCTCCCCCGCGGAGCCCTTGCAGAGGGAATTGACGTGCTCGGGGGAGAGCTGCTGCCCTGTGCCGGAGGTGTGTTGGATTTGCAGTGGTCTGTGCCCTGGGTGCTGCTGCCTGGGGGCTTGGTCTGTACCCCAGGTCTGTGGACGTATGACCTGCTGCTAAACACAGGGCCCTCACTGGCCACTGCCTTCCCCGGGGGCTACAGAGAAAGGATGCTGTGGGGCCTGCCCTCCCCCCTGGGTGATGGCAGCCACAGCCCTGCAGCTCTGTGCCCGGGGAGGAGCTGCAGTTTGGGTCCCGGTGCCGTGCTGGAGCCGGGGGGGTGTCCCCACACCCTCCCCGCCGTGGCTCTCGGCACCGATGTTGCCTTGTGTTTGGAGTAAAAGACGTTCTTGAGGAGGTGTGTGACGTGTCCCTGTCTGCAGGGAGGGGTCCCACCAGGGCACAGGGAAGAAGGGGTTCAGGTGAAGCAGCCAAGCGTTGCCGGGGGGGAAGGCAGCGGAGGGCAGCCGTGGCGGGGCAGCGCAGCCGGACCGTAAGCAATAAGCAGGGAAAGTTAATCCCTGGCCCCGGCCATGCTCCCCACGGGGGTTAACACAACCCTGCAGCCGGGGCCAGGCACCGCTGTCAGGAGCCTCCGGGGCTGGGCACTGCGGGAAGGGGCTCAGCACAGCGTGGGCAGGCGGAGGCAGGGGCACAGGCAGAAGTTTTGGGCTGCCCAAGGAGAGGGAGGTGGGTGCCGGGGAGCTCTCAGAGCTTGGGAGGCAGAGGCAACAGCCCTGCTGTGGTGGGGGCGAGCAGAGCATGGGGACAGCCCAATCACCCTGGGCTGGAGAGGCTCACTGGGACACGCAGCAGTTGGGCTGCCCGGGGCCGGGGAGAGGGGGGATGGTAAAAAAGAGATGCAGACAAACAGTTTGACAGGGAGCATTCCCCTCCTTTAATCCTCTCACCACAACACAGCAGAAAAGCGGCCGCGGGGGGTTCACGTCACGCTGGATGCCCTTGCACTGCAGAGCCGCGCATGCCCCTTGGCCCCAGGCCGTGGCCACAGGGACAGGGGTGCCAGGCTGCTCTGGAGCTTTAACCACTCTCCTCAGAGACAAGCCCACCTACCCCTCTGGCTGCACACAGGGAGAAGTCCCAGCAGCTACGGATTTTTTCCTGCTCAGCCTAAATCTGCTCCCCTGGGCTCCAGGGTACAACACAGGGCCAAATTACCACACGAGGAAGCGGTACCCACCCCTGGCTGGAGCAGCGATTGGGGTGGGATGTGCCACAGCCCCGGGGAGTGGACCCAGGGGCTCTTACCTGCACGGGGAGCAAGCTGGAGCTGGAGCAGAGCGCTGGGAGGAAGCAGGGCAGCACCAGCAGAAGAGCTGAAGCACTCACCACACACCTGACCTGGCAAGAAACCAATACAGCTGGGGGGTTACTGGGAGACATGGAGGCTCTGAAATGGTTTATTGCAAAGGGTTTCTGCAGGTAACACAGGGAAGGAGCACGGTCCTTTGTTGCAGGGGCTTCTTTACTCCTCGCCCTCCTCTTCGTCCTCATAGGAGTCCAGGCCCACCTCCTCGTAATCCTTCTCCAGAGCGGCCATGTCTTCCCGTGCCTCGGAGAACTCCCCTTCCTCCATGCCCTCGCCCACGTACCAGTGCACGAAGGCTCGCTTGGCGTACATCAGGTCAAACTTGTGGTCCAGGCGAGCCCAGGCCTCGGCGATGGCCGTGGTGTTGCTCAGCATGCAGACGGCGCGCTGCACCTTGGCCAGGTCCCCCCCCGGCACCACCGTGGGCGGCTGGTAGTTGATGCCCACCTTGAAGCCCGTGGGGCACCAGTCCACAAACTGGATGCTGCGCTTGGTCTTGATGGTGGCGATGGCGGCGTTGACGTCCTTGGGTACCACGTCCCCACGGTACAGCAGGCAGCAGGCCATGTACTTGCCGTGGCGAGGGTCACACTTCACCATCTGGTTGGCTGGCTCAAAGCAGGAGTTGGTGATCTCTGCCACCGACAGCTGCTCGTGATAAGCCTTCTCTGCAGAGATGACGGGGGCATAGGTAGCCAGAGGGAAGTGGATGCGAGGGTAGGGCACCAGGTTGGTCTGGAACTCAGTCAGGTCAACATTCAGAGCCCCATCAAACCTCAGTGATGCTGTGATGGATGAGACAACCTGACTGATGAGTCTGTTCAAGTTGGTATAGGTTGGGCGCTCAATATCCAGGTTTCTGCGGCAGATGTCGTAGATGGCCTCGTTGTCTACCATAAAGGCACAGTCCGAATGTTCCAAGGTGCTGTGTGTGGTGAGGATGGAGTTGTAGGGCTCCACCACGGCAGTGGAGACCTGTGGCGCGGGGTAGATGGAGAACTCCAGCTTGGACTTTTTGCCGTAGTCAACAGAGAGCCGCTCCATCAAGAGGGAGGTGAATCCAGAGCCGGTGCCGCCTCCAAAGCTGTGAAACACGAGGAAGCCCTGGAGTCCTGTGCACTGGTCAGCCTGTGAAGAGAGACACATCAGATTGGTGTGAGATGGTCTTCTTTGTGAACATCTGACTGCTCAGAAGTCCTTGGGGTCCTAGTCCATCTCTGCCAAGGGCAACTGCAGAGCCCTCCCAGGACACAGCAGGGCTTGCAGTGTGCTCTGTTCCCCAGCAGGATGCTGTAGCCCAGCCCAGGGGGACACGTCCCCACTCTGTGTTCACCTACCAGCTTCCGGATCCTGTCCAGCACTTGATCGATGATCTCTTTGCCAATGGTGTAGTGCCCACGGGCGTAGTTGTTGGCAGCATCCTCCTTGCCAGTGATCAGCTGCTCGGGGTGGAAGAGCTGGCGGTAGATTCCAGCCCGAACCTCGTCTAGGAGAGATCAGGGGAGGGTTGAGCCCAGCGCAGGCTGTTGGTCTGAGCCGGCCACCAAGCAGCCAAGAGGGTGGGAGCACCCATCCCTCACCCTCCTCTCGGCTCCGCCTGCTGGGGACACGGCCAAGGACCCACACGTCAGCAAGGCCACCAACAGCATCAGGTTTCCCTGGCAGAAGGAGGTGGCTGCCACCTCCCTGCACAGCTTCTCCCACCCATCGGGGCTGCCCGTCCCCAGCAGCGCAGTGGCACAGCGGGAGCTGCCGTGCCGGTTGGGCTGGTTTCTCTCTGTGCACATGTGGTAGCAGAGACTCCCAGCACAGCTGCCTCTAGGACACTTCAGGGACAAAAAGCTGGTGCTCAAGTTTGTGGCTTCTCCTGGGGAAAGGAGGGCCCTCAGGCTGGATCCAGTGCAGGATACTGCCAGCAGGAAACCAGCACCAGCCTGGTGCTGCTTTGCACCCCAGGGCGTGCAAACCCCAGCACTCACCAATCACGGTGGGCTCCAGGTCCACAAAGATGGCCCGTGGGACGTGCTTCCCAGCCCCGGTCTCACAGAAGAAGGTGGTGAAGGAGTCATCCCCTCCACCGATGGTTTTGTCGCTGGGCATCTGCCCGTCGGGCTGGATGCCGTGCTCCAGGCAGTACAGCTCCCAGCAGGTGTTGCCCATCTGGACGCCGGCCTGGCCGACATGGACGGAGATGCACTCGCGCTGGGGAGGGGGAGGCAGGGTCACATCTTGGCACAGCTCTGTCCTGCCCACCCCAGTGCCACACAGCCACCCGCACGGGACCTGCTCCGGCCAGTGGCCCCAGGGACCACATTTTCCTTTGGGTGACCTCCTGTGTGCCCCGGAGGGGCTCCACATGGCTGTCATTGCCCTCGGCCATGCACAGGCACCGTGCTGGGTTGGGAGCCAGCTCTGGTGTCCCTCCTGCTTAGCCCTTCCCGAGGGCCACCAGCCCCACGGACTCTGCCCAGGGCTGTCCTCCAGCGCCGTGGGGAGCAGAGCCTGGTACAGCTCCCCTGCCCCAGCCACCCTGCCAGGCTCCCCGGCAGCCTCAGCCCCTTCCCCATGTTACAGAAGCCCAGCAAGGTGCTGAGCTGACCTGGGCACAAGCTTAACCCCTGAGGTGCAGCCATCACAGGGGAACCCCCCTGCTCGCTGCTCCAGAGCCAGGCAAACGCTCAGCCTCTGGGGCGAGGGGCTTGGGGATGCAGGGGCTGTGGGTGGCAGCCAGGAGAGGGCTGGCAGTGAAGCCCATCGGTCTCCGAGGTAGCACAGAGTTTCCCCGGGCTACGCAGTCCCAACCCCGTGCTGCAGAACCCAGGTGGGCAGAAGTGCCAGGGAGCAGGCTTTGAGCTGGAGACGTGCCCTCCTGCGCTCCCATCCTGCAGGTGCAGGCCTGTTCCGCTACCCCTGGCAGCCCTCCTCCGTTAGCCCCAGCATCCTTGGCATCCCTTATCCCTGGCACCCCTCCTCTGGTACCCCTCGCATCCCCGCTCCCCAGGGACACCACAGCTCAGCCTGGGGGTCCTGGGGCTCCTCGCTCCCGTGTTCCCGTGTTCCCCGACCAAGCCGTGTTGGGGACTGTGCCCCGGTCCAGTGCCGGGGGAGGGGGGGATCACAAGGACTCCTGCCTCCTCCGGGGGGGCCCAGCTTGCCGGGAGGGAGGGCTGCCCGGGGCAGGGTCCCCGGCAGAGCCGGGTGAGCGCGGCGGCGGGCAGGCGGGGCGCTGCGACTCCTGGCACGGCCCCGTCCCCCCTCCCGTGCCGCTAAATATAGCCCCGGCCCCAGGCGAGGGCAACGGGGACTGCCCGGTTTGGACTGCGGTCCCGGCCCCCGCCGCGGCTGCCAGACCCGCCGCGGGACGGGACACGGGACCCCCGCGCCCGCTCCCCACCGTCAGACCCGACGGGGCGCCCGTTGCCGCGGGGCGGGGGGGGGATCCCCGCCGAGCGCCCAGCTCCGGCTCCCGGTGCCCGGCTGGCGCCTCCACCCCCGGCAGCTGTTCCCGTCCGTCCGCGGCCACCGTTCCCCACCGGAGGGGTCACCCCGCCCCATCCCCGACGGCCCCCCCGCGCTGCGGCAGCCGGGGGGGACACAGGAGCCCCGGGACCGGTGGCGGCGGGGGGGAAGAGGAGGGCAGAAGCGACGAGGGGGGGCACGGATGCCCCCCGGGCAGGGGCCGGTGGGGCTGCCCAAGGTCACGGTGGGGAGAGAGGGGGCTCATCCAGGCGGCTCCGCCGTGCCCGCTGCTCCAAGGAGGGGTGGCGGTCGCCCTCCCCCGCCGCCGTGCCCGCTGCCCCCGCCGCCCGGCCCGCACTCACCATGCTGCGGCTGGGGGGGTGTCCGGGCTCTCCCGGCGGCTCGGTGCGACGGGGCTCGGCGGGGAGCTGCGGCTGCTGCAATCCCCTCCGCAGCGCCCTCTTATAGGTGGGAGGGGCCTGCTTGCCGCCACGCCCCTAAATTTGGGTACATTTGCATGTGGGGCGGGAGCACCCACTCGGTGGGGCAGCGGGAACCGGCCTGGGCT